ACAGATTTGCTCCAGGATATGACTTTATTCCAACTATTTTTATATTGAAAACGTTAGCGTTAAAAACACTGAACTATTCAGAGTATACAACTTTGCCCTTTAGCGCAATATTTACACTACAAAAAACTGTAAATTCTCAAATTTACACATACAACCAATGCAAGTGTTTTAGTTTTCACATGTTAACTTGCTCACAAAGTTCATACACAATCATCCTTTATTCTTTTTTAAGTTTCTTCACATTCTACATTTTGAAGGGGCTCAGTTTAAAAAAAAAAAAAAATCCAGTGAGTAAACTTGTGGCGAGTACAATCCAAAGTTAATCTGAGCAGTTGTTGGATACTCTGAATGGAGAACAAACCTTATACTTAACAAACATTCATGTGGTAATAACAGCTGCAGCCACACATATAGATGAAAAATACATCAAACTAAGCCCTCCATCAAAGCATCTAAAATTAGAAATGTTGGAAAATATGYTCATAAACAAGCTAATCTTGAAGGACCAGAATACATTCAAATAATTGTGAATAGTACATATGACAAAATTAACCTACTTAGAGACAACTTAAACCCCAAATAATTCTACAGAATTAATTCCTTGCCTAGATTTCATTAGAATCAAGAAAAATCTGATTTACAGGGAATTGAGGCATCCATTAACTTTAATAACATCAAGTCAATCAGACTCAGTCATGAAATACTGTCAGATTATAGTTTTTCAAATCACAAAATCTTGGAGGATTGCATTCAAAATCTTCTTACATCATCTGTTTGTAARAACTACAGAACAACAGAATCATAGAAAGTTAAGGGTTGAAAGAGACCTTAAATTTAATCTTGTTCCACCCCCMTGCCATTTAGAGGGACACCTCCTATCAGTTGCTCCAAGCCCCATCCATCCTGGCCTTGAACATTTCCAGGTATAGTGCAGCCACAGCTTCTCTGGGCAACCYGTTCCAGYGCCTCACCACCCTCAAAGTGAAAAATTTCTTCCTCATATCTAACCTAAATTACCCCTTTTTCAGTTTGTACCCATTCTCYCTTGTCCTGTCACTCCAGTTCCTGATGAAGAGCTCTTTTCCAGCTTCCTTGMAGATCTCTTCAGATTCTGAAAGATGTTTTGAGGTCTCCATACAACYTTCWCTTCTCCAGGCTGAACATCTCAACTTTCCCAGCCTGTCTCCAWAGGGGAGGTGCCCCAATCCTCTTATCAGCTTTGCGGCCTCTTCTGGACTCACTCCAACAAAATTATACAAGCCGCTACATGGGCTCTGTTCTACAGGCTGCACTTTCACTAGGGAACACGACAAATTAARAATACTGATAATAAATACCTGCACAGCAAGACACGTGTGTAAGAACACCTTTCAGCAGGGTTATTCTGGGACAGAGATCCTCCATCTGTGCCACAGGCCCTTTTGGAAAAGTATGGATGAGAAATTATGCAAGAGCAGTTTCGGCTTGGCGAAGAAACACTGAGTTCACACATGAGAAAACAAAAAGAAAAAAAAAGTTAGCAGGGTCTTGATTTCCAAGCTCACGTTAGTCCCCCAGATGCTTGCCTGGCAGCACAGCCAGCACTGCACAAACTGGTTTATGGGAACAGATGCAACTGCTTTCCCAGTTGTTTGTTCCCATCACCACAGCAGGCCYCCGTGCCAGAGCAGTTGTCTGCACAACCGCACAGCAAACCAGACCAGAGAACCCTTCCAGACAGCACCAAAGAGCTCGCTGGGGTTTTGTGCTGCCTCACAAAGCCACACTCGTGTCAGGGCACAAGTCCCTGAGTGAAAAAAAAGCCCACTCTTATTACAAGCAGCTTCCCAAGTTTCCAAAACCACCAAAAGAGCCAGCAATGACAAAAAAAAAAAAAAAATCACAAGATCTGGACAGGAAAAAAGGTGATGTACCTTTACCAGTAAAGGAACATTGCCTTCCCTTACATGGGTTTTAGCCCATTTGTAACAAAACCTTGGCAAAAAAGGTTTAAATGCATCACTAGAAACATTCCAGGGATTCTACAGCTGCTTCGGAGTATTTGTGACTTAGGTGGGATAGCTACAAGTGSACAGAAAACATGTATGGGATTAGATGCTAATCTCTAGAACTGTCCTTAATGAAAAGATAACGCGCCAGATTAGCTCTCGACAAAAATAAGGGAAATCTTGCAATTCTAATTTCTATTTTAATACTTGTGTTTTGACACATAAAGCCCTATTCAGGTATTTAATTCAAAGCGGATAATCACGACGAGAAGCCAGCCTAAAGCAATGATAATGGCCATGATAATTTTTTCAAATCGCATCGAGATGAGGGAGTACAGCAGCCACAAAGGGCCCGAGCCAAAACTCACCAGGATCTGGGCTTGTGAATYCCTGATGGTAACGGAGGGAGGTGGGGCAGCGGTTTGAGAGGTCTGGGAGTGGCKTTTSAGGGGATTGGGGTGTCTTGTGAGGGACAGTGAGTGGCTCCTGAGGGMAATGGGGATGGYTTTTGAGGGGAATAGGGGTGTCTTGTGAGGGGTCTGAGGGTGTCYTGTGAGGGACAGTGAGTGGCTCCTGRGGGCAATGGGGATAGTTTTTGAGGGGGATTGGGCGTGTCTTGTGAGGGACTCAATCGGTGGCTTGTGAATGGGACAGTGAGTGGCTTGGGGTAGTCGCTGGGTGGCTTTTGAAGGGGACACGGAGGGCTTGGGAAGGGGACAGAGATGACCTCAGGGGGTGGTGTTTGTGGGGGACAGGGGTGGCTTGGGAAGGGCAGTGTGTGTGGCGCTAGGCACAGGGCTTCTTCACAAACGACACCCAGCCGTCCCCCTACACTCACAAAAAACCACAACGTGAAAATCAATAATTATCGCAATAAAAACTCGCGATGAAACAATTGCAGATTTAGGTGACTCGAAGCCTGACGCTGCCCGCGGGCTCCCCCCACACCCACAGCACTGAGGCCCGGGGAGGGTGCGGGTTACCACAGCGGCACCCCCYAAACACCACAGCCGCGGCCACCGGCGGGGACACACGACAGGGACCCGTCCTTGTGTGTCCCCCTCCGTCCCGGGCCGCCCCCTACACAGCAGCGCGGCTGTTGCCTCAGTTTCCCTGCCGCGGGCCGGACTGAGGGCGGCGGCCGGGGCGCTCCGGGCGCGTCCTGCCAGCGATGGAAGCGGGCGGGCGGGCGGTGGAAGCGAGCGGGCGGTGAAAGACGGGCGGGCGGGGGATCCCCGGCGCCGTCCCCGCTGCCATCTCCCCGCTCCCACCGCCGTTCCCCCCCCGCCGCGCCGCCCCCTCGCCCCCCGCTCCCCCCCGGCCCGGCCAATCGCGGCGCCGCGCACGTGACGAGCGCTCCCCGCGATGACCTCATCCCTCGGTTGTGGGATGACGTCAAATTCAAGATGGATGGAATCACGGCGGCGGCGGCGGCAGCGCGGGCTGAGCCCTGAGCGGAGGCGCCGAGGGGGGCGAGCAGGGGGGGGCGGCGGACAGGGTGAGTAGCGCCCGCGTGTCGCGCCCGTCCCGGGGGCTGCCCGCGCCGCGCGGGTCTCCCCGCGCACAAATCCGTCTTTTCCTGACGTAACTCTGAGGTGGTTTTTTTTTTTTTTTTTTTTTTTTGGTTTTTTTTTTTTTCTCTTTCCTACTTCCCCCCCTCCCTCCACCGAGCGGGGATGCGGCTCCCGCGCGCATGCGCCGGTTACGAAACTCTTCTCCCCCTCCTTGGCGGGGCTCGGCGCAGGCGCTCGGAGCGGGCGGGAGGTGCCCGCGGCCGCCGCCACATCGCCCGCCCCGCCTGGGCCCGAGCCCGCAGGGGGAGACGCGAGGGGAGCGCTCAGGGCGCATGAGCGCGGCCRGGAGGGATGGAGGGAGGGATGGAAGGAGGGATGGAATGAGCGATGGGTGGAGGGCGGGGAGATGAAGGGGGAGAGGCGGGTCGGGATCAGAATGGGGGGAGCGGGAAGCGGCGCGCCGGCCTCCGGCTTCCCTCGGCTCCGGCGCCTCAGGAGCCCGTTACCCGCTGCAACGGGCGTGAGGGCCGCGAGGGTCCGGCCGCCCCAGGGCGTGAGGGACCGGTGGTGTGAGGGACACCGGGGACCGGTGGTGTGAGGGATATCAGGGGCTCAGTGGGAAGGACCGGCCGCCTGAGGAGTGTGACGGACCGGCGGTCCGGCCCTTCCCGCTCCGCCGGCGGCCCCGGCTTTTTCCCCGACTCCGGTCCGAACWGTGAAAGGCGAGAGAGGCTCCGGGAGGCCGTGACTCGAGGACACGGCTCCTTCCCGGTGTGTCTGGAAGGGAGAGCGCGTTTCGCCTCCCCCCAGCGAGGTCCTCCGCGTATAAGTGCAGGCAGGTACCAAACCTCGTTAATATCTGTCATCTATCGAAAGGGGAGGTGTCAGAGCAGGGACCAGGCTCTGCTCGGTAGTGCCCAGGGATGGGACCAGAGGAACGGACAGGAACTGATGKACAGAAATTCCACCTGAACAAGAGGAAGAATTTCACTGTGCAGTGACTGACTGAGCAGTGAACAGGTTGTCCAGAAACTCCCTCACTGGAGATATTCCAGATCCYTCTGGACACAATCCTGTGCCATGTGCTCTGGAATGACCCTGCTGGAACAGGGAGGTGGCACCAGATGACCCCACTGTGGTCACTTCCAGTCTGACCCATTCTGTGATTCTGTCACCTTAGTGTAGCTTTGCTGGTCTGAGCCCTATTGGGCTGAATTTATTCATCATCAAGATGAAGTACATCTCACAGCCCGGAGGGGAAATCATCAGCGCTGGGCTGTGCCTTTTGCAGAAAATTGTAGAAGGTGTTTTACCTGGTCACAGCTGTCAGAGCTTTACTATAATGTTCCCTGAAGTCCAARCTGATGCCACATTCTGATTGAATGAGGCTTGTGGAAATAAACAGCAGAAAAACTTAATTTAAAGGAGTTACTATTAGACAGGAAATAATTGTGGGTTATATGTGTGCTGAGTAAGCTCATCTTAATAATTAAATAGTAATTGCTTTAGCAACTCTTTTTTTTTGTAGTTGGACTCCCAGCGGAAGTAAGAGGTAGGTAGGCTGTACATGTAAAAAGAGATTGTGATGAATTACATAATCACACGACTTTTTTGTCAATATTCTGAAGATCTTGAAGTTAAATGAAAGTTAATACTTTATCCTTAGATAAACTAATATGAAATCAGTTTTTTAATGTATTTTTGTACAGGAAGGCTTTTGATATTAAATCAGGAGCAGTAAATACATACTAGAGGTAAATCTAGTACTGCTTTGTGTGTAGGTTTAGTGTTCTGTTCCGACTTTGCTCAAACTGATAAACTAACTGCTCTGACTAAAATTTTCCACCAGTATTAAGCTGATCTTCTTGAGGGCAAGTTTTTAAGCAACTGTTTTTATAAAAACCTTGTTTGCAAAAAATACCAAATTATGTAGCCATCTCTTGGGTGGAAGGGGATGCAACATCCCTTTCTCTCAGAATAGTGTTTCACTCGCATGCTGTAGAGTTGMAATTTCTTAAGAATATTTTGTTTACCTGTGAAAAGTCCACCCGTCCTGACTGGATTGTGACCATTTAAAGAAYTGTCATTAAATGTTCTCAGTAGGGACTTGCAGGGAAATGTCACAGGTTRGAACCTCTGGAGTTTTCAGCTACAACAGTGTGTGCCAGGCCAACATTCCTTGGGGATTTGACCACTTTTGAGCTCCCGTGATTCTGCTTTAATGTTCAAGGTAACTTATCCTTTAGCACATATTAGCACTCTTATTGAATATAAAAGAGGTAGCAGCTTTTATAAAGTTCCCAAAGTCCTTTTTGTGGACTCCTTTGTACATGTAGTGATAAATGTGAACATTTGTGCCTCGTGTTCCTACTGTGGAGGTTCCAAGTGCCAGGGTGATACTCGGACATGTCCCTCTCACACTGAGAACTCTCTAGGTCACTAGAAGCTGGATATTACTAAGAAATAAGGTTTTGTAAACCCATGGGGTTTTTTTGTGTATATGATGCTAAAGAATACTTGCACACAGAGAATTCAGTGCTSTGATCATCATTGTAGAGCTGGCAGATCACACTTTTCTTAAAATTGGTTAGGGGTGGGTTAGCATTTAAGGGAAAWCTTTGCAAAAAGCCTAGAGCTTTCTTACTGTATTGAAGTTGTTTTGAACTTCAGGAKCTGTGAAGCAGTTACTGTTAAAAATCAAGTAATTTTCCCTTGGTAGCTTTCAGGGTTTTGAAATTCGCTTTATCTGCAAAACAGTGATAAYTTCAGTTGTGACCAAGTGTGGACTCGGAGGGGAGAGGAAGTTGGGKTGTAATCAGCACATGGTTWGCTCTGCACTGGGASGGCCTACGCTGTGAGTCACATGCTGCAGTTGCAACAATTTCAGCTCTCATTAGACTTTTGAGCAACTGAGCTCTGTCATTTTGAAATCTGTCACATGTAATGATCTGAGATCCTCAGAAAGCAGGAAGTCTTTAGAAGTAGCAGAGTCATTTGCTACAAGTGAAAAGAGTGCAGTATGTCTTGCTTCAAAGGAGGTGTTTTGTGCAGGGGGGSGGCTTTCCTTCACAAATATTTGTTGTAGTTTAATATTGGTCTTTGTACTGTAATACTTCAATTTTTTCCCTTACTGATAAAATTAAATACAACAGTTCTCTTATATTTTCTTTCAATCAGCAGTGAAATAAAACAAAATTTGTTGTCTGTACTTATTGACTATTTTATGTATTTTGCTGTTCTGGAACAGTTCAGGCGTATTTTACGCAGTCTGGTCTGGACACGTTTGTGACTRTCTTCAGAGAGCTTTTGAAAAAAGAGTGTACTTGGTACCATAAATAAGCCTCATAAAACCCCTTTTAATGTCAATTAAGAGCCATGGAAGGAAAAGCAGCAGAATTACAGTGATTTCTAATCACTACCCCACTCAACCTCTCATAACCAAAAGTAATTTATTTATTCTGTACCAAGACATAACTCTGAGTACAGTCCTTCAGCTGTTGAGATTCAGAGCCAAATTCCCTGAAAGTTCAGTAAAAATGTAACCATTTCCTTTCTCATAAATACTTTTGATGAGTAAAGAAAATGCACTGCTTTTATTCATGGAGCTGGATTATTAAATTATTTTTTTCAGCTCTGTAAGACATAGCCTACCTTCAGTTGCTTGTGGACATGGAGTAAACTGGAAATCTCCCACATGCTATTTATGACCTTGTAGATCTCTTAGGGTAAAACTCAGGTAAAACTGCTATTGTCTTTCCCCTTTTACAGTGTCCTGTATAATCTTCCCAGTATCTTGGCCATAATCATGGCTGAATGATGTTTTCTTTGGATCCCTTCAGTGCGAAGAAGATACCTGCGTTCCCTGAATCATAACTTTCTCACTTGGCAGATTTTTAGACAGCTTTTATATTAGTTCTGCATTTTCAGATGAAATGTATGACCTTTCCCCCTCATGTCTCATTTTCTTAAAGAAACCTTAGTGTAAACACTCTCCTGTTGATAGAAAAGTGCCTTATATGGGTATAAGTGGCTTTTCTTCCCATCCAAAATACACTGTCTGAAAAAGCACCATTATAGAATAGAAATATATYCACAATTAGGGTTTGTCATTTTGACTACACCAGCAAAATTAAAATCAGTATGTAGACAAGTTTTTATTGTGAATTAGGCCAGTTAAAAGTGTCTCACCTRGTAAACCAGATGACTGAAGATTGTTCCATTTGATAAGTATATCTCAGCATTGCCAGTAAAACAGTAAAGAAAGAATATGTATGTGCACATTCGGTGTACATCTCCCCGTCAAATTTCATGCATATCTTACAAAAAAAATGATAAGAAAAACTTTTGGGGGTGAGATTTTTATAGATGTTTAAATTAGATGGCCGTCAAGCCTTCCACACTTGTCCCATCAGAGAGTATAGTGGCAATGTTAAAAAGCTCAAGGGAATGAAAGTTGAAGAACTCCTTAGGGATAGGTGTTTTTGAACTTTTTTATATTTTGATGTAGTTTACCGCAATTTGAAGGATGAGTTATACATCTTTGAGTCGAGACACAGAGGCCAGGCCAAATATCAAATTGTGTTGATTTAATCTTCATTGAATGTTTGAGGAAGAAGTGGGAAAGCTCCCATCCAGGGCTTCCCTGCCCTCTCCCTTCCATCCTGTGGCTGTACAATGCCATCGAGGGAGATGGAGGAGAGGGAGGAGACACGGGCTGCTCCTTGCAGGTGCAATCCCTCCTTAGACTGGGCTGAGAGCAAGATGAAATTGCACCCTGAGCTGCTGTTGGGTTGTAAACAAGAACGGGAATGACAAGAGAAGCTTTGTACTCTGACATTCTGTAGTTTGYTGCACGTCATGAGGAGCTATTTTAGGTGTCAGAATGTGAAACTGAGGGTATGATCTGAATGTGAAAAGTAGCCTCTTATGTCTAAGTGAATTTCACGTCTCTTATCAAGGTAACTGCTAATTTTTTGTCTATCATGTCGGGCAAAATAGACTTCAGAGTATTCAAACTGAGAGTAGGTTTAGATTAGATATTAGAAACAGTCTTTACTGTTAGTGTGGTGAGGCACTGGCACAGATGGGTTGCCCCATCCCTGGAAGTGTTCAGGGACAAGTTGGATGGGGCTCTGAGGCTGTTCAAAGTAGAAGGTGTCCCTACCCATGGCAGCATGGCAGGGGGGTTGGAGMTGGATGACCCTTAATGTCCTTTCCTAAACCATTCTGTGATCTATGATTATATGTTTATAAAATTTCTCCTTTTCCTCCCTAAATTTCTGCATTTGAATGTGTGGAGGATAAATAGGTAGAAATTAGACCCCCAATTTCACA